CGCGGAATTTTGTAAACAGACAACATGGCGAGTGGGCGAGCTGGTACTACATTAGTATGGGCGGACGATGAGGTTGAACTGTTGCTTCGGGTCACACTGGATTACAAAACCAACAAGCTACATTGTTGTTATTATTTTCTGAGTGCGGCGCATGCGTGCTTAACAAGAGGCGGGGCGATGACGCAAGCGTCTCAGATACATTGCGGAGAGGCAGTAACCACGGAGCGGCATATACGGAGTTTTGAAATCTTTCCACTCTGGGACCTAGTTTCAAAAATGTTCGTTTACACCCCCCCAAAACGCCGGCCTCGTATGGACGATACACTGGATTGATAAAGTATTTTTGCGTTTAGGCCTGAGCTTGACTTCGTGTGGACAGGGCCTTAAACGCATCACTGCTCAGTGTCTCATAGGGATCCGGTTGTCGTGGTTACATGCAGCTCTTCGCTGTAGAATTTATGTCTCACTAAATCCATCCGATTCTGTGACTGAAGTAAATGTGGCGTTTGACTCACAATCTTTTGTGTTACATAAAAAGGTGCAAAGCTAACGCTGTCAGAACAAATGCCCATATTAGGAAACAGGCTCCAGCTAATGTTCAAATCAGCTTCTTCTGCATTAAAGTGATAGACTTGACAAGATAGAATTGACCTCCTGGCCTTAAATGTTGATATAAAATAAGTCATTTTATTAATTACGAGTAAGTCCCGCCTTCCCTTCTCTTAGCTATAGCTCAAAATCCACGATGCCGTCCACGTTAACCAATCGAGTCATGCCAAGGGCTGTCAATCATCGGCGCTCGTGCTCGTATATAAAGCAAATATTACATATATATATTATATATGAAGAGTTTGGTTCCAAAACGCTATAAATCCATTTGGATCAATTTGAGAAAAACTGCGTTTTCTTAAGCAAGAAAATGATATGATGAAAACAGGGACGTGCGGTGAGGTTTGTGATTGGGGAGGCACTGACTTTAAAAGTCAGATTTACAATCATTATTCAAATAAAATAGCATTTAATCACCAATGCAATGACATCCACAAACTTTATATACTGTAAAGATAAGAGAACCAGCTTCTTTTAATAATCTCACAACAAATCTAGCTGCTGACTCTGCTCCGCATCAAACAACAACTTTAAGAAGCGCAGGTGCGAGAGACGCGAGGAGAGAGAGACGCGAGGAGAGAGGAGCAGAGAGAGACAGAGAGGAGCAGAGAGACGGAGACGCGAGGAGCAGAGAGAGACGGAGACGCGAGGAGAGAGAGACGCGAGGAGAGAGGAGCAGAGAGAGACAGAGAGGAGCAGAGAGACGGAGACGCGAGGAGCAGAGAGAGACAGAGAGGAGCAGAGAGACGGAGACGCGAGGAGCAGAGAGAGACAGAGAGGAGCAGAGAGACGGAGACGCAAGGAGCAGAGAGAGACGGAGAGGAGCAGAGAGACGGAGACGCGAGGAGAGAGAGACGCGAGGAGAGAGAGACGCGAGGAACATAAACAATAATTTAAACAAGTTGCAGAACTCTTGAGCAGTGTTTGAATCAGTGTTTTTCGGAAAAGCACTACTTTGCCGGTATCTGTCAATGTTCAACATAAAACACAGATTAACAAACTCCTCCCCCGCAGCCGGACTAACCTCGTAAGTCCAGTGGTGGTCTCCCAGTCTATATTAATTCTTTCTTTGTTTGAAAGTCCAATTGAGAAAAAAAATCTTCATTCAAATCATCCATTTTTCCAGCAAAAGAAATAGCATTTTGGGCTGATTGTTTGTTAGCAACTCTGGTATGAACTTTATGCTCACTATCACCCCTAGCGGTGAGGCACAGATACCGCCTGCCTCACGCCAAGCTTTTTCCTTGTGTGTTCATCTACGATCAAAAGACTTAAACTAAATATAAATTGTACACACATACGTGCAATACACTACTAAACACTAAGAGGAGTTTAAAAAATGTTTTTAAAGCAGGATATTTGAAACAAACGGTGATATATCAACTGCACGAGCTGAGTGCACTCAGACACACACACACACACTGTGAGGGAGCGGTCTGAGGTGAGGCACGCAGGAGCGCTGCCTCACCTCGTCTCTTTGAATAGGAATAACGGGATTTCGGCGATTTTGACTTCAGAAATGATCAAAACTGATGGGAACCGTGCCGAATATACATTAAAAGCATAGGACAGTGGATATAAATTATATATTTAAACTAAAATAATTATTAGTTTCCAATAATGGCAGGTGAGGCTCTGCCTCCCCTGCCTCCCCTGACTGCACGTCCCTGGATGAAAATCACTATTGTCTGTTCCATATATAGCATCAGAAGGTTATAATAACATTAAGAATTAAAATCCAGATTTCAAAAGGCTATAACTTTAAAGTCATCTAATTTACATATCATGACGTCATCAAGGTGGCGGCCATTATTGGACAATGTCATTAAAATGTACATTGACAAAAGGTCAATGTGAAATGTCTTAAAATCTTAAGTGTTCTTAGTATTTTACACACCTGAAGTACAAGCACAGAGTGCGTTGCTAAAGGGCAGCGGCCATTAATGGTTTGAGAGTCAGTTATCAAGAAATAAATGATCGAACGTTTTGAAATTACATTCAAATCAATGGAGCGATTCTACTGCTGCTGTGAGGAGCGAGTTATAAATTAGGAATAAATATTCAAATATTTATATTTATAATCTCTCTTCCGCACGTCTTGGACCATTGACCTGGCGTGTGCACAGAAAAGTAGGCGTGGCTTCAAGACCAATCAGAAAGGAAGGGGGAGGAGCTTGGGTTGTTAATTTTCAAATCACGAACCTCTCTCTCTCTTTTCTGACAAACTCCAGACAATCCCTTAAAGGCTAACCACTGTGAGGTCACACTGTCAGACCACTGAATAATTATGTATATATTACTAACTACATTCTTTTTATTAGAGCTGCACAATATTGGAAACTAGAGCGATATTCGATATGACTGTTTAGTATTTCGATAACAATATTATTGCGATAATTTTGTCTTTCACCTAAAATTGCATCTGCATTGAAACGTAAGATACAAAATGACATTCAAATGCATATGTCGGTGGGTGCAAAATGGGTGGTGGGTTTTAATAAGGTTTTATTTATATTTTATGCATTTTGTGTGTGTGTGCTTCTAACATTGATTTGAACTTGCACCACCCGAAGCACCCCGGCTACCCACGTGATGACAATTAGAACACCTGTGCCTTGCGTACAAAATGAGATGGGGAGGGGGCGGAGAGAGGAAGCAGGACGAAGCGGGAGACACAGGAGACAGACACGGCGAGGGGTGACCCCATGGTCCGGCGGCCCAGGTCGTGCAGAAGGGTTTTTAGCCTCTTTAACTTTTATCCCGGGCTTTTAGCTTAGGTTTTATTGCTTTTATTCATTTACTTATTTTTAATGTATTTTATAATAAATTGCTTTTAATTTACTTTTAATCCAGTGGTCTTTTTTAAACCCGGGTCCAAAGAACCTGTTTTTTTACACTTGTGACACATATACCTATATACTTATTTGTTCTTGTTGAATGTCTGTTCTTGTCTGTTTTGTTGTCTTTAATAAAGGAAAAATATAATATATATAGTAGGGCTGTCAAACGATTAAAATGTTTTAGTTGATTAATCGCATCGTAATGGTGAGTTAACTCACAATTAATCGCATTTTTAACTTTCTATTTCAAATCCACTCCAATTGAAGTTAAATGAGATTATCAAATGTAATGACACATTGTCATTCAAACCAAATGTACTTAAATCTGTTTGATTCACAACAATTTAATTTTGGGCGAAACCAACATGAGCTGTTAATGAAAGGGAACATTTACGTACCCCAGCTTTAATTTAAGTAAGTAAGTAAGTAAAGTTTATTTGTATAGTGCATTTCACAGACCGCTGACATGGAGGATGTTTGTTCTGAGTGATATTATGGACACATGGGTCATTCTGAGTGATATTATGGACACATGGGTCATTCTGAGTGATATTATGGACACATGGGTCATTCTGAGTGATATTATGGACACATGGGTCATTCTGAGTGATATTATGGACACATGGGTCATTCGCACATGCGTTGAAAAACGCAATAATGAAACATTTAATTAACGTGCGTTAACGCAATAATTTTGACAGCCATAATATATATATATATATTTGTTTTATTAAACTGTGAGCTTATTGAACACAGAACGGTGTGTGTCAGTGACCCGTGTAAATCCTCACATCCAAACCAGGTCTTCAGGTTAAGTCCAGAGATGATGTCTGTTCTTGTCTTCTTATGTGTTGCAGAACACGTTCAAAGACAGTCTTGGTTTTATTAAGTTCATGTAGAATCTTCTCCATCGCAGCAACAGTCTTTAATGCAGAGTTCCTCTTAATGTCTCCAACTGGCTTCAGTTGGCGGAAGGGGACTTTAAATGTTAGAACTTTAATCACAGCGTCGTATTCCTGCAGCTGCTTGCAGCATCTCTTCACATTGTTCACCCGTGTCTGTAACTGCTTCACTGTGGATATGAACTTTCTCTTTGTGGCCTTGATTTTCTTTACTGCCTCCTTCTTTGCTCTGCTGCTGTTTGTTCTGAATATGAGGTCTGCAACAGATTCAACAGCAAGATCAACAACAGCAACAGCAGCAGCACCAGCAGTAGCACCAGCAGCAGCAGCTCCGATTCCAACCAATGTCAAACTCAGTCCTCCTGTGAATGGAGCAGCAGCGACACCTACAGCGGCTCCGACAGCGGCTCCTACAACGGCTCCTAGACCTATAATGACTGTAGTCAGCATTGCTACATTTCTCTTCTCAATCTTTTCCGTCTGTTCATGAATACACCTGGTCAGATCGTCCTTGTTTGTTTCAAAGAAGTCCAGAAAACGCTTGATGGACTGATTCAGTGAAAAATGTGGAGGAAAGTCTTTGCTCCGTCTTCTCCTGGAACAAAACAGAACAGAGATGAGACTGAGAGGAGACTGAAAGGAGAAAGAGATGAGACTGAGGAGACAGAGGAGGAGAGACAGGAAGAGACAGAGGAGGAGACAGAAGAGGAGACAGAGGAGGAGAGAGAGAGGACACAGAGGAAGAGACAGAGGAGGAGAGAGAGGAAGAGACAGAGAGGAAGAGACAGAAGATGAGACAGAGGAGACAGGAAAAGAGAGAGGAGGAGACAGAAAAGGAGACAGAGGAGGAGAGAGAGAGAGGAAGAGACAGAGAGGAGAAAGAGGAGGAGACAGAGGAGGAGAGAGAGAGGAAGAGACAGAAGATGAGACAGAGAAAGAGGAGGAGAGTGAGAGGAAGAGACAGAAGATGAGACAGAGGAGACAGGAGAAGAGAGAGGAGGAGACAGAAGAGGAGACAGAGGAGAGAGAGAGGAAGAGACAGAGAGGAGAAAGAGGAGGAGACAGAGGCGGAGAGAGAGAGGAAGAGACAGAAGATGAGACAGAGGAAGAGACAGAGGAGGAGAGAGAGAGGAAGAGACAGAAGAGACAGAGGAGAAGAGAGAGGAAGAAACAGAGGAGGAGACAGAAGAGGAGACATAGAGGGAGACAGAGGAGAAGAGAGAGGAAGAAACAGAGGAGGAGAGAGAGGAAGAGACAGAGGAGGAGAGAGAGAAGGAGGAGAGAGAGGAAGAGACAGAAGAGGAGAGAGAGCGGAAGAGACAGAAGAGGAGACAGAGGAGGAGGAGGAGAGAGAGGAAGAGACAGAGAGGAGACAGAGGAGGAGAGAGAGAGGAAGAGACAGAGGAGGAGGAGAGATAGGAAGAGACAGAAGATGAGACAGAGGAGACAGGAGAAGAGAGAGGAAGAAACAGAGGAGGAGAGAGAGGAAGAAACAGAGGAGAAGAGAGAGAGGAAGAGACAGAGAGGAGACAGAGGAGGAGACAGAGGAGGAGAGAGAGAGGAAGAGACAGAAGATGAGACAGAGGAGACAGGAGAAGAGAGAGGAAGAAACAGAGGAGGAGAGAGAGGAAGAAACAGAGAAGGAGACAGAGGAGAAGAGAGAGGAAGAAACAGAGGAGGAGACAGAAGAGGAGACAGAGGAGGAGAGAATATCAAAATCATAATAAATAGTCTTTAAAAACGTCTAAAACCAGGTGTCGATCGTCAGCTGTTGATGTAAAAGACTAAGAGTCACTGTGAGGGTTCTTTATACAGTGCCTTGCGAAAGTATTCGGCCTCCTTGAACCTTTCAACATTTCGCCACATTTCAGGCTTCAAACATAAAGATCCATCCATCCATTTTCTTCCGCTTTATCCGTTGCCGGGTCGCGGGGGCAGCAGTCTAAGCAGAGACGCCCAGACTTCCCTATCCACACACACCTCCTCCAGCTCGTCCGGGGGGACCCCAAGGCGTTCCCAGGCCAGCTGAGAGACGTAGTCTCTCCAGCGTGTCCTGGGTCTTCCCCGGGGCCTCCTCCCGGTGGGACGTGCCCGGAGCACCTCCCCCGGAAGGCGTCCAGGAGGCATCCGGAACAGATGCCCGAGCCACCTCAACTGGTTCCTCTCGACGTGGAGAAGCAGCGGCTCTACTCCGAGCTCCTCCCGTGTGACTGAGCTCCTCACCCTATCTCTAAGGGAGCGCCCAGCCACTCTGCGGAGGAAGCTCATTTCGACCGCTTGTATCCGCAATCTCGTTCTTTCGGTCATTACCCACAGCTCATGACCATAGGTGAGGGAGGGAACGAAGATTGACCGGTAAATCGAGAGCTTCGCCTTTCGGCTCAGCTCCCTCTTTACCACAACGGTCCGATACAGAGACCGCATCACTGCGCACGCTGCACCGATCCGCCTGTCAATCTCACGCTCCATTCTTCCCTCACTCGTGAACAAGACCCCGAGATACTTGAACTCCTCCACTTGAGGAAGGACCTCTCCACCCACCTGGAGAGGGCAAGGCACCTTTTTCCGGTCGAGCACCATGGCCTCGGATTTGGAGGTGCTGATTCTCATCCCAGCCGCTTCACACTCGGCTGCAAACCGTCCCAGTGCATGCTGCAGGTCCTGGTTCGTTGGAGCCAACAGGACGACATCATCCGCAAAAAGTAGAGATGAAATCCTGTGGCTCCCGAACCTGACCCCCTCCGGCCCCTGGCTGCGCCTAGAAATTCTGTCCATAAATACAGTGAACAGTAGGGGCAAAGGGCAGCCTTGGCGGAGGCCAACATGCACCGGGAACAGGTCTGACTTACTGCCGGCAATGCGAACACAGCTCTGGCTCCGGTCATACAGGGACCAGACGGCCCTCAGCAGAGGACCCCGGACCCCGTACTCCCGGAGGACCCCCCAAAGGACACCCCGGGGAACACGGTCGAACGCCTTCTCCAAATCCACAAAACACATGTGGACAGGTTGGGCGAACTCCCATGAACCCTCGAGTATCCGATGGAGAGTATAGAGCTGGTCCAGTGTTCCGCGACCGGGACGAAAACCACACTGCTCCTCCTGAATCCGAGATTCGACCATCGGACGTAGCCTCCTCTCCAGTACCTTGGAGTAGACCTTACCGGGGAGGCTGAGGAGTGTGATCCCACGATAATTGGAACACACCCTCTGGTCCCCCTTCTTGTAGAGAGGGACCACCACCCCGGTCTGCCACTCCATTGGCACCGCCCCCGATCGCCACGCGATGTTGCAGAGACGTGTCAGCCAAGACAGTCCTACAACATCCAGAGACTTTAGATAGTCAGGACGGATCTCATCCACTCCCGGCGCCTTGCCACCATGGAGGCTGCCAACCACCTTGGTGACCTCGGCCAGGGAGATGGAAGTGTCCGCCCCAACATCCTCAGCCTCTGCCTCCTGAACGGAGGACGTGACGGGGGGATTGAGGAGAACCTCGAAGTATTCCTTCCACCGCCCAACAATATCCTCAGTCGAGGTCAGCAGCCCTCCACCCGCACCATACACGGTGTTGGCAAAGAACTGCTTCCCCCTCCTGAGGCGCCGGACGGTTTGCCAGAAACTCTTCGAGGCCGACCGATAGTCATGCTCCATGGACTCTCCGAACTCCTCCCAGTCCCGGGTTTTTGCCTCTGCAACAGCCCGGGACGCGGCACGTTTGGCCTGCCGGTACTGGACAGCTGCCTCAGGAGTCCCACGAACCATCATTGCTCGATAGGACTCCTTCTTCAGCCTGACGGCATCCCTTACTGCCGGTGTCCACCACCGGGTTCGGGGATTGCCGCCGGGACCAGCACCAGAGACCTTGCAACCACAGCTACGAGCCGCCGCATTGGCGATAGAGGAAGAGAACATGGTCCACTCAGACTCAATGTCCCCCTCCTCCGCCGGGACCTGGGAGAAGCTCTCCCGGAGGTGTGAGTTGAAAGTCCGTCTGACAGGGGGCTCAGCGAGACGTTCCCAGCAAACCCTCACTATACGCTTGGGTCTGCCAGGTCTGACCGGCTTCTTCCCCTGCCAGCGGATCCAACTCACGACCAGGTAATGATCGGTTGACAGCTCCGCCCCTCTCTTTACCCGAGTGTCCGAGACACGCGGTCGAAGGTCAGATGATACGACAACAAAGTCGATCATCGACCTCCGGCCTAGGGTGTCCTGGTGCCACGTGCACTGGTGGACACCCTTGTGCTCGAACATGGTGTTCGTGATGGACAGGCCGTGACTGGCACAGAAGTCCAACAACTGAACACCACTCGGGTTCAGAGCAGGGGGGCCGCTCTTCCCGATCACCCCTCTCCAAATGTCACTGGCATCTCCCACATGGGCGTTGAAGTCCCCCAGGAGAATAACGGAGTCCCCGGGCGGTGCACTGTCCAGTACCCCTCCCAAGGACTCCAAGAAGGCCGGGTACTCTGCACTACCGTTAGGCCCGTAGGCCGTCACAACAGTGAGAGACTTGTCCCCCATCCGGAGGCGGAGGGACGCGACCCTCTCATTCACCGGGGAGAACTCCAACACGTGGCGGCTGAGATGGGGGGCAATGAGTATGGCCACCCCAGCTCGCCGCCTCTCCCCGCGGGAAACACCAGAAAACAAACATAAAGATATACAATTTTATTTTTTTGTCAAGAATCAACAACAAGTGGGACACAATCGTGAAGTGGAACGAAATTCATTGGATAATTTAAACTTTAAAAAAAAATAAAAAACTGAAAAGTGGGGCGTGCAATATTATTCGGCCCCTTTACTTTCAGTGCAGCAAACTCACTCCAGAAGTTCAGTGAGGATCTTTGAATGATCCAATGTTGTCCTAAATGACTGATGATGATCCAGAGTGATCATGGGCCTCTTGGCTGCATCTCTGATCAGTCTTCTCCTTGTTTGAGATGAAAGTTTGGAGGGACGGCCGGGTCTTGGTAGATTTGCAGTGGTCTGATACTCCTTCCATTTCAATATAATTGCTTGCACAGTGCTCCTTGAGATGTTGAAGCTTGGGAAATCTTTTTGTATCCAAATCCGGCTTTAAACTTCTCCACAACAGTATCTCGGACCTGCCTGGTGTGTTCCTTTGTCTTCATGGTTCTCTCTGCGCTTTAAACAGAACCCTGAGACTATCAAAGAGCAGGTGCAATTATACGGAGACTTGATTACACACAGGTGCATTCTATTTATCATCATCAGTCATTTAGGACAACATTGGATCATTCAAAGATCCTCACTGAACTTCTGGACTGAGTTTGCTGCACTGAAAGTAAAGGGGCCGAATAATATTGCACGCCCCACTTTTCAGTTTTTTATTTGTTAAAAAAGTTTAAATTATCCAACAAATTTAATTCCACTTCACGATTGTGTCCCACTTGTTGTTGATTCATGACAAAAAATTAAAATTTTATATCTTTATGTTTGAAGACTGAAATGTGGCGAAATGTTGAAAGGTTCAATGGGGCCGAATACTTTCGCAAGGCACTGTAGGTACACTGTGGAATTTTACTGCCATCTAGTGTTGAGATCTTATATTGCAGTCCAGGGTACTACGGAGGCCTTTGATGGAAAAGATGTGTCTTTGACAGTGCTCCTGATTCACCATTCAGTATGGTGAATGGTCATTCACCAGACTGCCAAGGGAAGAATACTTTAGTTTGATAAATTACCTCTCTCCAAACGTCTCAGGCACTTGACAGTCGCGTGGAGGCGACATGTAAACATCACAGCGTTCAGACGCGGCACACGCTGTACAGAGGCTGCACTGAGTTTTACCATAGATCTATTTTAATATATAGTTTTACCATGGATCTATTTTAATATATAGTTTTACCATGGATCTATTTTAATATATAGTTTTACCATGGATCTATTTTAATATATAGTTTTACCATAGATCTATTTTGATATATAGTTTTACCATGGATCTATTTTAATATATAGTTTTACCATGGATCTATTTTAATATATAGTTTTACCACGGGTCTATTTTAATATATAGTTTTACAAACGCGGTGTGAAGAGAAGAGACACATGGAGGAATAATGTCTGTGAGAGCTTAAAACTACGATGATCAAAGAAGCAGGAGATATACAGGTAACTGTGGTCCTCCATGGTTCTTTTATATAACTGTGGTCCTCCATGGTTCTTTTATATAACTGTTGACCTCCATGGTTCTTTTATATAACTGTTGTCCTCCATGGTTCTATAATATAACTGTGGTCCTCCATGGTTCTTTTATATAACTGTGGTCCTCCATGGTTCTTTTATATAACTGTGGTCCTCCATGGTTCTTTTATATAACTGTGATCCTCCATGGTTCATTTATATAACTGTGGTCCTCCATGGTTCTGTTATATAACTGTGGTCCTCCATGGTTCTGTTATATAACTGTGGTCCTCCATGGTTTTTTTATATAACTGTGATCCTCCATGGTTCATTTATATAACTGTGGTCCTCCATGGTTCTTTTATATAACTGTGGTCCTCCATGGTTCTGTTATATAACTGTGGTCCTCCATGGTTCTTTTATATAACTGTGGTCCTCCATGGTTCTGTTATATAACTGTGGTCATCCATGGTTCTGTTATATAACTGTGGTCCTCCATGGTTTTTTTATATAACTGTGATCCTCCATGGTTCATTTATATAACTGTGGTCCTCCATGGTTCTTTTATATAACTGTGGTCCTCCATGG